CTCACAAACATCCCTAACTCCAACTTTAAGGGATTTGACATTCTTTTCTGATCTCTGTGGGCACCAGGTACCTACATTATGTGTGTGTGTGTGCGTGTGAGTGTGCGTGTGCGTGTGTGTACGTGTATATATCTAAATATATATATGTTTATAATACACATATACACACATATGTACACATTCAGACTGAACACCCATATACATAAAACAAAATAAATAAATCTAAAAAGAAAATAAGTATATGTATGTGATTGTAATTTTAGAAATATAAGGTGGAGCTGAAGCTCATACCTTTTCAGTGATCCATGCTATTTGTGAGTAACTGATGATTGACATTCACAGGCTCAAGCTTATGCATCTGTCTACTGTACCCTTTCTACCTATTTTCAGTATCTATTGGTAAGTAGAAAATTAGAAGCACTGAAGTTTTTAGTATTAAAAAAGAGTTTGAGGGGCTGGAAAGATAGCGCAGCAGTTAAGCACACTTGTTCTTGCAAAGGACTGGAGTCTGGTTCACAGCACCCATATTACAAGTCACAACCAACTTGTAACTCCATTTGCGGGATATCCAGCATCTGCTTCTAACCTCTTTGGGCACCAGGCATTCATGTAATATACATACATGTAGACAAAACATCTTCACATATAAAATAAATCTTAATAAAATTTTAAAAAAGCATTTGAGACAGGGTTTCTCTGTGTAATAGCCCTGACTGTCCTGGAACTCGCTCTGTAGACTAGGCTGGCCTTGAACTCACAGAAATCCTCCAGCCTCTGCCTCCTGAGTGCTGGGACTAAAGTCGTGGGCCACCACCGCCTGGCACTGGAATGGTTTTGATGATTTGTGTGAGAAGTTTCTTCTCTCCCTCTGCACTGATAGGATCCATTGTGGATATCTTGTGGGTAAACTTTGGCTTTGAGATGCCATACATTAGCTAAGTGGGAATTCGGAAGTGTTGCTGTCCCAGTCAGTGCTGAGGTCAAAGTACTGTGAAGGTTTTGGGGTTTTTAAGCAGTGTTTCGAGTTTGTCATTACTATAGATAGCACATGTGGTCTATTACAGACCCTTGTTCTCAGCCCCTGAGCTTGTGTTTGGGAAGGTATGTAGGTTTTTTCAGTTGTGAAAATGATTGCAGTACTGCTGGCCTTGATGGGCCAGGGCAGTGCTAATGCTCATAATGAAAGACAATTGCTGTTGAGTTCAGTACACATTGATGCTTGTAGAGAGACTGCCCCAAGTCTCCCTTTTGGTGGTGTTATAGTTTTGCTAGGTTGTTCAAGCTTGTCTTGAACTTCTAAATTCAAGAGTGATTCTTCTGCCTGGTTTCCTGAGTAACTAGTGTGACACGCACACACTACCATACGTGGTTTACTTTAGCGTACTTTAGAGTGAATTTAACCTGGAAAAGCAGGAAGGCTGGGGAGATGCATCAGTGGATAAAGCACTCTCTGCAAAAGTGTAAGGACTGGAGTTCGGATTCCCAATACCCATGTACAAATAATGGCTCCTCTGTCTCTAATCTCACCATTCAGAAGGTGGAGTGACATCCCAGGGCAAGCCAGCTACCTAGACTAGCTGAATTGACAAGTTCTGGGCCCAGTGAGAGATCCCGACTAAGTGGAGAGCCATTGAAGAAGGTATCTGATGTCAACCTATTGGCTTCTACATACGTGTGCACACAAGTTTACAGACACTTGCACACTGGTGTGCCCCTCACATGTGAATATATGTGTACACACCCTCACACACACTACATACATATACTAAAAAATCAGCTGAGAAGTCTGTTGGGCTTGTAATAGTAATGATACTGTGCAATATTTTTTAAAAGGTACACTTACGTTATTTTTGCATTGATGTATGAGTGATGCATGCCTGCCTCTCTCTCTCTCTCTCTCTCTCTCTCTCTCTCTCTCTCTCTCTCTGTGTGTGTGTGTGTGTGTGTGTGTGTGTGTGTGTGTGTGTGTGTGTGTGTGTGTAAGTGGGGGATTGGTTCTTTCTGTTCACATGTGTTCTGGGGATTTAACTGAGGCTCTCAGGCTTGGTGGCAAGGGCCTGGGTTATGAAGTTTTAGGTATGTAACTTACCATGTTGGGAATTGAGAGAGAGAGAGAGAGAAAAAAAAAAAAGAATGTGTTTTTTTAGCAGTTAGGAATAGAAGTGATAGAGAAGAGGGTCCCTTGAATATAGATATGTAGTGAACTTTTAAAAGAAGGTGTTGCCAGGCGGTGGTGGCGCATGCCTTTAATCCCAGCACTCAGGAGGCAGAGCCGGGCGAATCTCTGTGAGTTTGAGGCCAGCCTGGTCTACAGAGCGAGATCCAGGACAGGCTCCAAATCTACACAGAGAAAACTTGTCTCGAAAAACCAAAATAAATAAAAAAGAAGGTGTTAAGATCTTTATATTCTCCAACAGGAAATAATGAGTGGGTTTTGTTTGGACAAGGAGGGATCAGGCAGTATGGGAAGTCTTAGATTACGCTTCATCATGTAACAATTTGAGTCACATAGTAGGTTTTTCTTTAGTAGAAAAAGTTGCCATTTATTAAGATAATGCGTCAAAGAATGAAATGTTTTAAGTACTGTACTGTTTTATCTGTCCAGTGTCACATAGCAGATAACTCTGTTGTTTGAATTGTGCCTGTGAGCTAGCAACTACAATGGATGAGGAAAAGGAAAGAAGAATGTGAAATAAAGAGGGAAAACCAACTGCAGAGCAGATGGAAGGAGAGGGTAGCCCCCTAGGAAGCAGCAGCCGCACCCCTCATCCACCAAATCAGGTGTAATCTGATTTGGTCTTTTAATAAAAAACTTGGAACCAGATATTGGGGTAAATGCTGAAAGATCAGAGAGACAAAGGAACAAGCCACTGCCACGTCTCACTTCACCAGCTCTACGATGTGTAAGATGTCACACAGGCCTAGAGGAGCTGATAGTAGCCAGTAGACATTGTATGGGGGGCAGGTATGCCTGTCTAAGAGACCATTAGTAACTTTTCAGACTTTAGAACCACCTTCAGGCAGGATAGCAGATTAAGTCTCAGGCAATAGGGTGAGTTGTGTTTACTGTATTACATGTATCCTGGGGAAGGTCATATTGAATATCTGTGAAAAGATGCTCTGTGTTAAACTTTAAAGCAGTGATTCTCAACCCGTGGGTTGCGACTCCTTTGGGAGTTGAACAACCCCTTCATGGGGGTAGCCTAAGATCTTCAGAAAACACAGATACTTACATTGTGATTCATAACAGTAGCAAAATTACCATTATGAAGTAGCATGAAAATAATGTTATGGTCGGGGGTCACCACAACATGAGGAACTGTATTAAAGGGTCGTAACATTAGGAAGGTTGAGAACCACTTTGAAGGAACTGACTCCATGGGTTGTCCTTCAGTTACCTTGACATTTTATCTGTTGAATATACTAAGAGTTTATATTGGCTTGGCCAGAACTGACTGACCTGTGTAACAAGATGGAATGCTGTGGAGTACATTCCTTGGGCACAATACACATAAAAATGAATTCAGATGAGCAGGGCCATATTTAAATATAATACCTTGTTGTTAAAGGTCACCAGGTGAGTCGGGTCCAGCAGCTCAAGGAAAGAACAGAAAGTCAGCTGTTCTCTAAGCACTGTTGCCTCTGATGGGGCAGGCATGTCTTCTTCAGTCTAAAACGTGGGTCATTACATCACAAGCCTGTTGTGTTATTGACAATCACCATATAGGCGGTGTCTTGTGGACTAAAGATGTGCATGAAAAAATAAGAGAATTATACTTCCTGATGCATGTGTGTGTGTGCTTACTGGAGACATTTACAATGTTACAGTGGAGGGTCTACCAAAAGTGGTATGTTTCACATATATGAATGATATAAACTGACTCGAGGCATACATTGTATCTTTATTTTTAATCACTAGTTAATTAATTTTTTGGGGGATACTATCTAAAGTAGCTCAGAGTAACCTGATTTTCCTGCTTCCACTTTTCAAGTGCTGGGATTAGTTATGAGCCACCATACCAACATGGGCATACATAGAAAAGACCATCTGCATAGACATTTTCAAGATAGCAGTGTTACATAGATCAGGCTGGCCTTGAATTCCAAATCCTCCTGTCTCCACCTAACTGCTGGAATTACAGTATGACACCACACTGGGCTAGTAGATTATTATTATTTAGAAATGAACACAGTCACACACTACTTAAGGGTGTGATCTAACAATGTATCATTGGGCAGTTTTATTTTTGAATGTCATAAAGGTACTGGTATGACATTGCTGAGACCAGTGCTAAACATGAGGCAATACAACAGTCTCATGGGATCCTCATTGTGTATGTGGACAGTTGTTGACTGCACTATTGTTATGAGGTATGTGACTGTATGCCATATGTATTTACAAGAAGAAATTTTGTTGTCATCTTACTATGCCGTGACTATGTCAAACAATACTTTAGAGAGGCATAATTGTAGTTCTTTCCAGACCTCTTTTAAAAGCTTTGCATGGTACTGCCTGCTTTTTATTCTTCCCTTTGAAGAGAATTTCATGTGGCCCTTTTTAGTCAGTCCACCTTTCTGCTTCAGGAGCTTGAAAAACAGAGTAATGGAGTCTAATTGTGTTTGCATGCAGCAAATACTAAAAGCAAAAGAAGGATGCCTGGGTTGCACACCACTTACATCTCTAGGCTTTGTACTTCTGACTATTAACAAAGCCGATTTATTTCTCCAGGAGTGATGCAATTCTTAACCCAAAATATGATGTCATTCTGCTGATTCTGCTTGGTTTGTAGAGTACAGTGAAGCCCTAGTAGGGTTTAGTGAGAAATATAGTTATTATGATAATGAATCTGAGAAGTTAGTTGTCAGTATGGACTGAGGTTGACTGGCAGGGGTTGCTTTATGAATAGCCCTTGGAGTATATTCTGTTGTTCATATGCAGTTTTAAATCACTGTAAACTTGTAGGCAGGTGCATATTACAATTGTCTGTTTTTCTTTTTAGGGCTCATGTAATCAAAGAAGTTTCTTTGTTGTGTGTATCTTTACAGAACACAACAGGAATTGAAAATGCATCAGGTGAGTTTAAACATAAAATTTATACAAATTCATGACCTAGATGTTAGGCCAGCTATTGATTTTAAAACATAGCAACACGCACATACCCTCATTCCTTCCTCTTGGATGTTTGTGTTGGTTTCCTCACCCCATTATCCGCCGTTGCTCTCATAGTGTGAGTGTGTGTGTGTGGCGGGGCATGTGCATTGCTTGCTGTGGTTTGCTGCTGTTGCTTTGCCTCCTGAGGGAGACGAACTCTTAGGAACTTTAGCTCCAGATTTCCCTTTTTAACCTCTCTTCTGCCACATTCAGTGTGAGGGGTTTGTGTTTCTTTGTTTGGTACATATTAAGCTTTTATTTTCTGAACTTCCTATTTTTCAATTTTCCAAGATTGAAAGTCATTTTTAGAGACCACAACTGATCAGACAGGAACTTTCAAGTATTTTGTCCATGAAAGTCCTTTGTATAAAATACAGAAGGCAGATACTGAAATGTAAGATGTTTTTCTCTTGCAGGAGGGTGTGTGATTACTGGGAGATTAATCTATTTTGCTGTGGATATTTCCATAACCTCAAGGGTGTTCTGATAAGTAATATTAGCTATGTGATTTTAATGCATTCTAGAGCAATATTCTTATTTTTTGTCTCATTCTCACAGTTATAGACATTTATGGATGCTAGAAATATTCTCCTAAAAATTTTTGTAAGCGCACCTTTAATCCCAGTACTTGGGAGGTAAAGGCAGATGGATCTCTGTGAGTTTGAAGCTAGCTTGGTTTACATATCAAGTTCCAGGACAGCCAGAACTACAGAATAGAGACCCTGTCTCCAAAAAAAAAAAAAAAAAAAAGAAAGATTGATTTATGGATGTCAGAAACATTCTCTTAAAATTTTTTATAAGCAACTTTTAAAAGAGATGAAACACAAAAATGTAAAGTATGTAAATTTCTTTTTTACTTCATAGCTTAAACTCTGTGGACTTGAAAACATTTTGTATCTTATCAATTGAAACTTTAGATATCTTTTTGTCATTTCCAGGTGTTTCTAATTAGAAACCACAAGTATAATTTTGTGAGGTGATGAGATTTAATACATTCTTTCCTGTGTTACATTGAGAGAGGTGAAATTGTTGGAGTGGATCTTTTTTATTTCTTTTCATTGCTTTCATTATCAGAAATAAACTTATTTTAATATAGAGGACTATACCTCATAAACATGAATCTGGCGAGCACATGGGCACATGGTCTCTATTATAGTAATAGTTGAAGATTTACTGACATGCTTTTGAAGGCAGATTATATTCGAAATGGTGAGGGGATAGGGAAAAAGCAGAATGGATTTTCAGTCATCATACATCAGAGGTGTATTTATGTATGCATTTCATTTTTTCTCTTATTTTAAGATTGATTCTTAATGTGAACCTGGTCACTCAAAGGCAGTGGCTTTTCTGTAGTCTGGGACTTGTTAGAGGAGTCAGTCTGGGCTAGAGTGATGGTGACTTTCTGAAGTGAATTTGAGTGTGGACTGTTCTTGCTGTGTTTTGTGTTCATTTATTATCTGAGAAGCTGACAGTTAAGCTTAGGCTTAATTGTGCATTGCTTTTCATTCCCTACTGAATTAGTAAGATTTCAAGTGTTCTTGGACCTTATTATTGTTATTTTCTGATACTTTACACTTTGCTTTAATATCCCAATTGTGTCGAACAAATAGTGTGTATACTATTCCAAAAGAGTTGTAGCAATAACCATTTCACTTTTTGGTTCTTTAGCAATCTCACGTTACTTTTGACAAGTTTTAACATTAGATCTGTACAGGGCTTCTTCCTTTGATGCCAAGTGCCAGGACGAAAGTATCCGTGTGTGTTCTAATGGCTAGCATGTTTCTTATTTGTGTAATTTAAAGGGGCTGGCAGTGAGGAAAGTTTTATTTGGATTATAAAAACCTTCCACTTTTCCTGACTAAAACTTTTAGCGTTTTCAGTTAAATTTCTTTATTATGCTGAAATATTAAGTTAATCAATATTTTCCAATATTGTTATTATAATAAAAATAAGAATATTATTCAGAATAGTTTACAGCCTTTGTTCTTGTATTTATCACTCTCATTGTCAGCCAGATTGTACTAAAATTTTCCAAATAACTGCACAACAAAATTCAGGTGGAAAAAAGTTTGAACTTGAACAAGACTGACTTATAATTAAAATCCTAAAGTTACTTTATGATTGTTTGGGATTTTCCCTCTAGGAAATGATTAGCATCTCTCTGTTGCATTTCAGCAGTCAAAACTTCTCATAATGGCTGTGATCGCAGAGGCATTAGCACAGACTCACTTTTCTCCCAGGAATGAGCCATTTGAGGCACAGGGATGATCTGGTTATGGTCATGGTGCTTGTGAGAATTCTTTAAGAGGAGCAGTAGAGTTCAGAGCCTGCCCATACTGTACACACCACCTGTCACATTCTGTTGTCTTGGTGTGTTCCAAGTCCCTCCTAGAGAGGCAGTTTGCTAGACTCTCTCTCTGAAGCCATATCTGGGGCTCCACATGCCCCAGAGCATTAGTTCTTTATCTTTCTTCCTCATCCCTGTTACTCATTTAGTACTTACTCTTGCTATCTCTTTGATCTTGAGAGGGAGTACAGCTTGCTGTGCAGGTGAGTCCTTGTTCCTCCTCACAGTCATGCCTGGCTGGCAGGCAGGGTCATGTTTGCCCTCCTTTTTTATTCTCTCCATTTTTTTGGATCATAGCTATCCTTTTATTCACCAGCATTCTACACTAACCCTGTACAGTTGCTCCTGGACTTTCAGTATGGTTATATCCTACTAAACTCATTGTAAAGCCTAAGAAATTACAAGTTTTTTCTTTTGTATTTCAGACTGTTCTAAATTGGAGATCATCTGTGATGTTCTCCTGGTTCCTAGGTTATTTAGTGACATAATGCAAATAGGCTCAAAGTAGTCTAAGTTAGATATGTTTTGGAGTTTAATTCCATTTTGTATCTGTTGAATTCTTAGCACATTTGCCAAGTACTCTGTTAAGAATGTATGTACCTGGGCCTGGCGGTGGTGGCTCATGCCTTTAATCCCAGCACTTGGGAGGCAGAGCCAGGCGGATCTCTGTGAGTTTGAGGCCAGCCTGGTCTACAGAGCGAGATCCAGGACAGGCACCAAAACTACACAGAGAAACCCTGTCTCAAAAACAAACAAACAAACAAACAAACAAACAAAAAAGAATGTATGTGCCTAATTAAAAAAAAAAGAATGTATGTGCTGGGCATGGTGGCACATGCCTTTAATCCCAACTCTCAGGAGGCAGAGGCAGAGGCAGGTGGATATCTGTGGTTTTGGGACCAGCCTGGTCTACAAAGAGAGTTCCAGGACATCCAGGGCTGACACACAGAGAAACCCTGTCTTAAAAATGAAACAACAGCACTGGGGAGGCAGAGCCAGGCGAATCTCTGTGATTTCGAGGCCAGCCTGGGCTACCAAGTGAGTTCCAGGAAAGGTGCAAAGCTACACAGAGAAACCCTGTCTCGAATCCTCCCCCCCCTAAAAAAAAGAAAGAAACAAAAGCAAAACAAAACAACCCCCCCCCCCCAAAAAACAAAACCCAAATCAAAAGTAAACCAACAGAATGTATAAATATTCTCCTGTTAATACCGTATTTGTAAAACACCTTATGAAGTGCAGGCATTAGAATTCCCATTTTATTACTGAAGATGACCATTCCTCTGGAGGAAGGAAAGGAGCTTTGCAGTCAGTAGCCTGTCAGATGTAAAGCCTGCTACTGAGCAGCCAGAGAGTACACTGGGCTATGCAGAGGTAACAAACAGTTCCCCAACTCAGTGGCTTAACACAGCACTAACTTACTTACTTGTCTTTGCTACATACTGTTGTTGGTTGTTTTTTGGCTTTTTTGGGGGGGCCTGCTACCCAGCTTTCAAATAAACCACACACGGTGGCTTATTCTTCTAAATGTCCAGCCTTAGCTTGGCTTATTTCTTGCCAACTTTCCTTTCCTTAAGTTATCCCATCTTTTTGCCTCTGGACTTTTCCCGTTCTCTGACTTCTGTAAATCTTACCCTTACTCTGTGGCTTGCTGTGTAGCTAGGTGGCTGGCCCCTCCAGCCCTCCTCTGGCTACTACTCTCTTTTCTCCCAGATTTCTCCTTCTATGTATCCTCTCTGCTTGCTAGCCCTGCCTATCCTTTCTCCTGCCTCACTATTGGCCATTCAGTTCTTTATTAGATCATCATGTGTTTTAGATAGGCACAGTAACACGACTTCTTAAGAGTTATACAAATGCAACATAAACAAAAGCAACACACCTTAAAATAATATCCTACAACAACATACCCTGTGTAGATTAATATGGTACTGTGCTGCTATAGACACAAGTACAAGGGTCAGTGGAGGCTTGGTCTTAATATGTGACATTAATTGGCCACACTGTTTGGCATATATCATTTAAATTAGTGTGGTGGGGGGGTGTATCTGCTAGCAGAGAAAAATTAGTATTTAAAGACAGCTATGAGGATTTACCGTGACTGCCTTTATTACTAATTTACTGAGTTGCACAGTCCCCCTCATTCTTTGCATAGCTCACATTATTATTAATATTGGCAATATAGTGACTGACTATAGTCACAGCATCTCCCTGTTCTAAACAGTGACCTATGTACGTTACTGCTGTTAACCAGTAGCAGGGCAGTTTAGCTTTCTGTGCTAGTTTTAGAGACCAGTAAAAAAACAAAGAAGCTGTGACCACTCAGTTTCACACATCCAGCTCTGAGCACTGTTCTAAGCCATCTCCACTCCCTTATCTGGACCGACCGACCGACCGACCGATCGTCCTAGGTGTTTATTTGTTCCCATGCACAGAATACCTCCTAGTATGTTGTGGACACTGCTGTGAGCCAAGCAGTGCAGCCTGTATGCTTGGAGAGGCAGGCAAGGCCCTTTCCAGTGGATAGTGAAAGTACTGTGAAGGCAATCAATGAAGCAAGTGCTAGTGAGGAAGCATGGCG